ATAACAATTGTTCACTATTGAATCATAAGAATTTTATCCCCGCCTCTTTTCACCAGACCCATCCCGACAAGATGAAAACTATTTAAAGGGGACTCTACCTTCCCCTGCACACTCTTAAACTAAACTCCCTCTTGAAAACTTGTAAGCCAGTCATTTCATGCCTTTATCGCCCCCTCATTTTAGGTCGCCAATGGCTAAGTTGCCCATCCCTATCTACTCTGTATATAGAGGGGATAGGATTGATACTTGATGTGAAGACTCCTTCCCTCTCAGTTGGTATTTTGAGTTACTACATCATAACTATAGGTCAAGTTCATAAAATTGTAACAATATACACTTGTTTCTTTTATCAAAAACATTTTTTAAAAATTTTCTCTAGTCGAGTTTTGATCAAGCCATCAAGGCTAGCTTTAATGGTATCCATAGTTTTGTCATAATCCACACAGTCTAAAGTCTTTGTATAGTCAGGAAAGCCCAGGTAAACATCTTTCTGGTATTTTCTGCTTTCAGCCAAAATCCACCTGACATCAGCAATGATTATCCCTTGTTCCATGTCCTCTTCTGAATCTGGATTGAATTTCGGGCAGTTCCCTGTTGATGTACAGTTGCAGCCATTTAGTGGGCTAGATTTTAAGAGGATTATGTGAAATAGGCATTTATTAAAATTAAGTAAAATACAATGAACTTGGATAAAAAAACCAAAAAACTATTACTTATTTCCTGGGCAAACTAATGCATGAAATATTTTCTTGGCTCCTGATTCTGTTGCCATCTGACTTTTACTTAAATTCCTGGCTGTCTTGAAGGTAACAAGTGACCATTGAATTGTAAAAATCACAGTGGTCTTTTTTGTCCTCTGTTCCCTGGAACTTCTAGTAGTTTTTGGCACTATTGTTCAAACCTTCTTCCTAATTGTTTCGCCTCAGGTTCTATATCTTTGTGGTTCTCCTACTATTATGACTGCTCTTTCAGTCATCAAAATTCCTCTTCTTCCTCATGCCTTGTAAATGTTGGTATCTATGTGGTTCTGCTTTTGGTCCATCAGTTTTTCTTACTTTATGTTTTCTCTCTGACGTCATTAACTATCATGGGTTTTGTCATGAATGGTATGAAGTTTATTCACAAATCCACTGCTCTTGTTGGTTGTAGTTCCACTTTGTTTGTTATTAGACACCTTCATCTGAATTTCTTTAAACAAATTGAAGATGCCTATAGCTTAACACTTTACCTTACATTTCCTCTTGTCTGTGCTCCCCTTCATCCTATGAGTATAATGATCCCGGCACCTAGTCCCTACTAATATCTCAGCTATTTTGTATATATCCCTTTGTTTATTCTTACCAGTCAAAATCACAACCTGGTTTTGGCCCTTAATATCTTTTGTCTGGTAGTATTGCAGTAATCTTTTGATCATCTTCTCCCCCTCCCTATTCTATCTTTTGACATCTACTTTAGATAATCCTGTGAGTATAATTTTCCAAAAAAAAAAAAAAAAGTACCAATTGTTACTCCTTATTGAGAAACCTTTTTGCTCGTTTCCTTTTCTTTTCAGAATAAAGTCAGTTACTAGGCATAGCATAGTATGATTGCCTCTTGCATTTGGTCTGTACCTATAGGTCAACCAAACTTGACTGCTCACCATCCCTTAAACGTGGTTGGTAGCTGCTGCCTCAGTGTTTTTGCTTATGCCATCTCCTTTCCTGTCCTGTGTGGAATACCATCTCATACCAACTTTTCTACAGAGTACTGACCAGGGCTGGCAGTGACTCATTTGTTACTGTACTCTTGTTGTCAATGCTGTTAATTCAGTTCCGACTCATAGCAGCCCTGTATAGGGTTTCTGAAGAGCATCTGGTGGGTTTGACCTTGAGGTTCGCAGTCCAGTGCTGATTCTACTGTGTCACTCTAGAATCCTTCAGTTGGGGTTTTCCTTCTTTAAAACAGTTCTGTTGTGGCACTGTAGTGCAAGCACTGAATGCTAACCACGAGGTTGATTATGCAAACCCATTAGCTGATCTGTGGAAACCCTATATACAAGGTCACAGAGCAGATTTGATGGCACTTAACAACAGCAACGTTCCTTAAAAGATCTTTGTGATTTGGACTTTATTTCCTTTTCTAACCATATATGTAGCCACTTCCCATCAGGAATCATATGATTCACCACACAATCCACATAGAATCATTTCTTGTTCCTCAGAACAGACAATGTGCTTTTGTACACATGCCATTTCCCCGTGTGCCGTATCTTCCACTTAGTGTTTTTGGGTGTGCAGGTGGATAAGAGTTGGTGGTGCTGGCCTTTGAAACCTAGTTCTCAGGTACATATCCTCCATCACACAGATGTTCTCCATCATGAAGGTAGATGTCTTGTAGCTACATACTGAGTTCCACAAGCAGCTTGACATAGAAAGAGCTGTTTTAAACACTGTTTTTGGTGTTTACCAGTGATGTAAATTCCATAAAAGTACTTGTATTTTTTTAGCTTGTTTTTCTTGATCTGTAAGATATGGACGATATTTAACTTTACAGGGCTAGTATGAGGTTTATGTGAGAAATTACATACAAAATACTTACCATCTGGTAAATAATATTAAATCAGGGGGGACAACAAAAGGGCAACAGCAACTTTCTTTCCTTTCATAAGACTAATTATATATGGTAGGGGCATGGGCTGTGCCAGACTAAGCCAGGATGCTGAAAGCAGAGCTTTCTATTCTTATAGGATTGATTTGCTGGTAGCCAGCTAGTGACTTCTTCCTTATGTTGTTGTTGTTATGTGCTGTCGAGTCGATTCTGACCCATAGCGACCTTGTACAGGGTTTCTGAGGCTGTAAATCTTTACGGGAGCAGAAAGCCTCATCTTTCTCCCTCAGAGCAGCTGGTAGTTTCAAACTGCTGGTCTTAAGATTCGCAGCCCAATTTGTAACCACTATGCTACCAGATCTTCCTTATGGTATACATAAAATACCGCTCAACAAAGAAATGCTTTTTTTCATATTGTTCTCCAGCCTCCCCTAGGACACATCTTCCATATCGTTCTAGAATTGTTGTTAGGTGCCATCAAGTCGGTACCAACTCATATGCACAACAGAACGAAACACTGCCCGGTCCTGGGTCAACCTCACAATTGTTGCCACACTTGACCCCATTGATGCTGCCACTTTGCCAATCCATCTCACTGGGGGGGTCTTCCTCTTTTCCTCTGACCCTCCACCTTACCAAACACCTTCTCCAGTGACTGGTCCCTTCTGAAAATATGTCCAAAGGACGAGAGACGAAGTTTGGCCATCCTGGCCTCCAAGGAACACTCTGGCTGCACTTTTTCCAACACAGATCTGTTTGTTCTTATGGAAGCCCATGGTACTTTCAATATTCTTTCCAACACCATAACTCAAAAGCATCAATTCTTCTGCGGTTTTCCTTATTCACTGTCCAGCTTTCGCATGCATATGAGGTTATTGAAAATACCATGGCTTGGGTCAGCCACACCTTAGTCCTCAAGCTGACATCTTTGTTGTTCAACACTTTAAAAAGGTCTTGTGCAGCAAATAGTATGTTCCAGAATAGGGCTTCTAAAATGCAGACTGGTTATGTTGTTTTCTTTAACTCCTTCAGTACAAGTTAAGCCCTACTCATTAACTTGAATTTTAAGGCTTTTTATGATCTGCTCTTCAATGACCTTTTAAATTTCATCTTTCCTTATGACCCATGCAATGGATGTTTATCATTTTTCTGTGTTTTCTAAACTCTTAGGCTTCAGAAGTTCCACAGGGTCTTGATGGAGGGGAGGGTAAGACCTGTCTCATATCTCTGAAACTGAAAATTTTGGATGCTCCCTGCTTTCCTAAAAACTTGTTGTTACTGTTAAGTATTATCAACCCTATATAGAGTTTCCAAGAAGCAGCTGGTGAGTTTGACCTGCTAACTTTGTGGTTAGCAGTCCAGTCTTATTCTATAGTACCACATCAGGACTTCTTGCTGGCAGTAAGAGCATGGAAGTATGTCCCAGGCTCAGCCAATGAGACTTTGCATCTGCACTTTGTTGTTGTTGTTAAGTGCCGTCGAGTTGGATCTGACCCATAGCGACCCTAAACAGGGTTTCCGAGGAGCGACTGGTGAGCTTGAACCACCGACCTTGCAGTTCAAACGGCTTTGCAGTCTGGCGCATTAACCCACAGCACCACACCAGGACACCTGTATCTGCACTAAGTAATATAAAAGATCAAGAACAGGGTCAGTGGTAGCGTTTATAATAGTGGTAATGTCCTTGTGTTCCATTGGCAATGGTGTCTCCACCAACTGTTTCTGTGACTGATCTTGGCTGTGGTTCTAACTGCCTATCTTCCATGGTACCTGCATGCTTTCCGAGCCTAGATTCTGTAACCATTCTGTTGGATCTGTGAGGTTACCCAGTGTTCCTTTTCTGTTTAAAGGAATACAACATGATTTCTGTTATTTGCAGAGTCCTGACATTTATTACTCTCTAATACCTATTCTTCATTAAACTTTCTACAGTTCTGTCAAACTGACCACAGTTATTTCCACCTCTTGGGCCTTCTCACATGTTGTTCTACCTGGAACACCCTTTACCACATTCATCTGTTTGATTCTCGTTGGCCCTTTAGGCCTCAGCTCTGTATCATGTCACTTTTTCTAAAAATCTTCCGCATAGTCTCAAAATGGTTTATTCCTCGGTGTTCAAACAGAATCCGTTCCTTATCTCTATTAATAGTACTCATCATACTGTATTGTAATTGTCTTTATGTTAAGTCTTTGTATAATCCATGAAGTTAATAATGATGACTTTAATTTTATCTGTTGAGTTGAGTGAGAAACTATTGGATTACCATGTTATATAAATGTTTTATGTTTGCTCCCCTTCCCCCATGGCCAATAAACTGAGTTTTCTAAGTGTAGACAGCAAGATCTTTTTCAACTTATTTTGGACTAGCTCTTGTGTTTTTTGCTCATTCTTTTTTCTTTTTTTTGAATTTTAGGTCCAAGACAACTTTGACAGAATTGAATTCAACAGGATGTGTTGGACCCTCTGTGTCAAAAAAAACCTCACAAAGAATCCCCTTCTTATTACTGAAGAAGATACATTTAAAATATGGGTTATTTTCAACTTTTTGTCTGAGGACAAATATCCATTAATTATTGTGCCGGAAGAGGTAAGGTGTGGCTCTGGGAAGTTTTTTAATGGCTATTGTAGCATTTAACAAACCCTAGTTTGGAAATATTTGTGCTGATTCAGTGTACACATGGAAGGAAATCCTGAACGAATGCTTTTTTGAATCAGAGGCAAAATAGCCTGAGTCCCGAATGTCTGAAACTTTGTGGTTTTGAGGCATGTAACACCCTTGGAGATTTTCAGCCTGGGTGGAACTCTCCCTCGCAGAATTGCTATAATTATATAGAGATTACTCCGTCTTCATATTTAGACAGTCTTTATTCAGGACAAGTCACCACATAATTTTCTTATACTTGCATATTGGCAAGACCCTAAGAACTGGCCAAATGATGCTCAATGGGAAACATAATGTACTTCTCAAGGCTGTTTTATGTGACTAAATTCTATTCTTGTTTCAAAGTCCAGGATGATGACTATTTACTGTACTTTTCTGAGTAAATGAAAAAGGACATTTTGGTTTATTCTGGGGTGTTTTTCCTGAGCCTTCCAGTAGAGAGGAACACTGGTGGCTCAGAAGTTAAGCAGTTAGCTGCTAATTGAAAGGTCAGTGGTTTAAATCCATCAGCCACTTTATGGGGAAAGATGTGACATTTTGCTTCTGTGAAGCCTTGGAAATCCTATGGGTCAGCTCTATGCTGTCCTATAGGGTCATTGTGGGTCAGAATTCACTTGATGGTAACTGGTATGGGTTTTTATTTTTTTGGTATTGTAGTACAAAATTTTAAAAAGACTAATAATATACAAAATTAAAATCAGCAATAGACCCCCTAGTGTAAAAAGGCATCTGTAGTTCCCTAACCTTAGACAAATTATTTAACCTTTTAAGTAATAATTTTTGCATTTATAGAATAGGGCTAGTAATAGTGCTTACTCTAAATAAAGGTTGTGAGGCTGTTAGTGTAGTTTAGTGCCTGACATGTGATATACATTTAGTAAGTGTGTTAACTCCTACAACTACTATTATTACTTACATTTTTGCCCACTGGTGTTTATTTCCTTAAATTTTTATCAGTGGAATTCTGAGTCCTAAGACATGCACATTATTTAGGAATTTGGTGAACATGGCAAACTTCCTTTTAAAATGACTGTGCCTTTATGTAACAATCAGTAGTAGTTAATAGCGCCCATTTTTGTCTATCCTGCTAATATTGACTCTAATCTCTGATTTTTTGACTCATATGCCTGATTTGAATCCTGATTCTATTATACTCATTAGCTGTATAAACTTGAATAAATTATTCTCTCTATTTGGGTTTCCCCATTTGTTGTTGTTGTTGTTGTTAAGTGCCATCGAGTTGATTCTGACCCATAGTGACCCTGTATAGGGTTTCCGAGGAGCAGCTGGTGAGCTTGAACTGCCGACCTTGCAGTTGAAATGGCTTTGTAGTCTGGTTCATTAACCCATCGCACCACACCAGGACTCCTTCCCCATTTGCAGAATGAGCATAATAACTACTTTCTTCATTGGGCACTTGGGAGGATTTTAAAAAGTTGAAGTATGTAAAACATTTAATATAGTGCCTGGTTCATGATACCCCAAAACCAAACCCAGCCTACTGCCACTTAGTTGGTTCTGACTCATCGCAATCCTGTATAGAGTTTACAAGGCTAGAAGTCTTTATGGGACCAGACAACTTCATCTTTCTCCGGTGGAGCAGCTGGTTGGTTTGAACTGCCAACTTGCAGTTAGCAGTCTAATCCTTATTCTCCAGCACCACCAGAGTGCCTTTGGCTCATAATGAGTGCTCACTAAATGTTGTATGTGTGTGTGTGTGAGTGTGAGTGAATGAATGACAGGATTATGAACAAATGATGATGATTTTGGTACATTTGGCATTTTAGGTAGAATATCACTGTTGAACTTTACTTTAGTCAACTGGAAGTGTTCATCTAGGCCTTGTAAGAGCCCATAGAAGGGGAGCCATGGGAATATGTAGGTCAGGGAGGAATGTAGCGGCAGAAGTAGGGGCTAAGGACAGAACCTTGGCACTATTTTAGCAGCAGAAGGTGGAAGTAGGTTTGGTAAAGGAAGTTGAATTGAACAGTCTCTGTGATAGTAAAAGAACCTCATGAGTGTCAAAGAAAGAAAAAGTTCTGAAAAACGGAAACAGTAGTTACTGTGTCATTAGATGCTGCAGAAAATTTAGAGGGTGGTGAGTAAGAGATTGCATTTGGATTTAGCAATTAGGTGATCATTGGTTATCAAGGAGAGCAGTTTCATAGTAGTGAAAAAGTTTCTTACTGATTAATTGCAGCAATGATGTCATTGTGCACATATATCAAAGAGAAAATGAAAACTGAATGTGCTATGAAATTTTTGTCCAACAACTTTGTCTAGCTTAATACAGAGACTTACTGAAGGAAATGAACTGTCAGTAGCTGTAGAAAAGATGCATCAGGGGTATTTTTAATCCCCAGCTGCCGCTTGCAAGAGTTATGCTAAATACAATCCCCGCTATTTCTTCTAAAACATTCCCTGTGGTTACACTCAGTGTTCCAAATTTGTTTGTGCTTCCTTTGAAACTGGGGGTATAGGAATGGATTTCTTACTCTTGGAATTTTGGTTCTTTTTCATGGTGGACTTTAACCTTGTCCTAATTTCAGAATTAGAAATTAGTGAATACGGAGATTTCTCTTTTTTCCTGAGGCAGCACTTGCTTTGTGTGGAGTACTTGTCATAGGCCATGAAGGGGGCCAGTGTCTACTTCCTGACTGCTCTGCCTAAGAAATGTAACACATTTCTGCTCCAGGTAGATTGAAGAACTGATAGCCACAGAGACTTCACGGTGCACTGTGACTCTAACCTTTCTGCATCCCAGAGCTCAGCTAAGACTCCTCAACAAACTTAAGTTTATCTTTGCAGATCTGGGTGTCTTGGTGCTTGGTATTTTATTTATTTTTAAAAAGTACTAATCTTTATTGACAAACTGCTGCAGACATTTTGGCATAAGTTTAAGCTACCTATTTAGGCACTTACAAATGTAGCATTTAATCTTCCAAGAACAAAATGGGAGAACAGTACAAATCCAATTACGACTTTAACTTATGTACAGATGGATTTTGATTCCTTTTTCATTTAGCTGCAGTGTCCCTTTTTATATCATGCTAGTGTTGAGACATACTTAAATGACTAGCTTGGGAACAGTTCAGTATTGACAACCGTCAACTTAGAAAAATCATCAGCTTTTGACCCCAGTATCCAAGTGAGCTTTTGATAGAGTGTAGAGTCTCAAATGGACACAATACTTTGTCTTTTTAAATACTGAAGTTTTACTTACCAGCACTATTACTAAAAGACTGTTATTGATTAAAAAGCTCTACATCAAATTCAATTCAGGTGGACAGCCTCTCTTCCCCCAATCAGCCTCTTCAAAACCTATTCCCCCCTAAGTATCTCTCAAAACTCTATGTCTGGGGCTAACTTTTAAAACCCACATAATGAAAAAGTGAATTTTACAGACCTAATTTAGTTGTTGTTTTTAAATCAATTAATGTTAAAAATTGAATTAACTACTTAATTCATGGGGATCTTTCATATTAAAATTTAATCTTAAGCATTCAACCGCCATGTGCTTTTAAAGGAAACAATTTTAAAGATGTCAGAGCTCACTTTTACATGGTGGCACCTATTGCTGTTTATATTTGTGATTTTAAATCTTAAAGAGCCCTGAAGTTTGAAATGTAGCCTAGTTTGGGATTCTGCAACTACAACTTTACGGGATGCCTCAAATTCGGTAATATTTTTTATTGTGGTAAAATATAAAATTTGCCATACAGTTTTGAGTGTACAATTCAGTGGATTGTACATTCACAATGCTGTACACTTATTACTACTATATATTTCCAGAACTTCTTTCCGCTACCCCAAAGAGAACCTGTATATTCACTAAACAATAACTCTCATTACCCTATTCTTCATAGCCTTTGGGTCTATTTTGTGTCTGTACGGATTTGCCTATTCTAGATAGGGCATATATGTGGAGTCATACAATATATGTCCTTTTATGTGTTTTCAAGGTTCATCCACATTTTAACGTGCATCAGAACTTCATTCCTGCATAATATTCCATTTTATGTATACACCATATTTTGTTTATCTAGTCATCTTTTATTAACCACTTGGGTTATTTTCATCTTTTGGCACTTGTAAATAAGATTTAGTTTTACAGCTTTTTCTTTTGTGGCCAGAAGTGCTTGTGTGGGAAAAGAAGGGATCATTTGAAACAGACTTATGTGGAACTGCGTTGTGTGTATGCTGAACTAGCCTCTTGAGGTTTGAGATTTAAGACACGGGCATTTTAAATCTTGTATTTATTGAGCTCTTAACACATTTGACTTTTAACCAAGCACTGTAAATGTACGGTCATTTTATATTATGGGAAACATTAGTCATAATATTTTTCAAGGTAACCATTCTTTGTTAGGATTTGTTTCCTTCTAAGCATTTATGGGCTAAGCATTGGACTGCTCACTGCAAGGTCAGAGGTTCAGACTCTGTGAGAGAAACATGAGGCTGTTTGCTCCCATCAAGACGTACAGCTTTGGAAACTCTATATAAGGTTTCTATGAATTGGAATTGATGACACTGTGTTTTTGGTTTTTAAAATTTTGAAATAATTTAAGACTTAAAGATTTTAATAAAACTTAACATGAAAACAGATGTATTTCACAGTGTAATTTCTTAATTTGTCATGGGTGTGTACCTGTGTTTAATTTGCAGTCTTATTGACCATTTATATTATTGTTGTTAAGTGCTGTCGAATCAGTTCCAACTCATTGCGACCCTGTGTAGGGTTTCCAAGGAGTGACTAATGAGTTTGAACCACCGACCTTGTGGTTCATTATAGGCTTTATAAATTTAAAGTAATTTTTATGTTTTTAATAACCCACCTATCATAATGATCATTTGCATTTTCTTTAACTTTAGGGTGTGTTTTAAGAATGATTACCCCTCCCCTCCAGCTTTTATCAAGAGTAGAA